GCGAAGCTCCTTAACGCGGCACCCATTCGTCCATCGTCGTAGTACCTAACATGTCTTACGCTTCGACCTACAAGGTGTTGCCGGTGGGAGATTTCTCCTGTGCGTTGTTGAACAATAAAAAATTCGCAGCGTGCGCGTTAACTAGAAGCCGAATTCTCCTGTCTCTCATTCCCCATTAGCACACATTGGCATGTACATTGAGCACTGCCTGACAAGAAAGGGTTGCTACGTTATACTCGCTGGGCGTAACCTCGTTGGTTTTAGTAAGGTTTAGCGAGCGTTGGGCCGCAGTGCCATGAATACAGTGAACGAGTATACACCATGAACTCGAGGTGGTTAAAGGTGGGAAGTAGACACGAAGCGCAAGCCGTAAGAAAGTGTGCGTGTGCCACCTCTCGTTTAGTCCTTGGAATGTCCACTGGATGGCGGTGCTTCTATATGCGGAATTTAAGATGAAAAGATGCGAGATGGTGGTACTTGGAGTGTTGAATAGATGGACGAACGGACACACAGACAGATGCATGGACGGACGCTGGGGCGGGTGCACGGACGAACGCAGGGACGCCCGCATGGATGGACGTGCGGACGCACGAACAGACACACGCACCTACGGGCGGATGGACGCACGGACGGTCACACAGACAGACGCATGGACGGACGGAAGCAAGAACGAAAGGAACGGACGGATGCTTCACCCCATCCATCATTCACCCCGTGGATATGCTGCCATTTTTTGTTCGTGTATTATCCTGATGGGGGCTTTCTGCGTGATTTATTTGGTACAGGTATACACGTACACATAGAAATACTCTGTTTGCCTTACGTCCTATCTCCCATGCATTGTACGCTAACCAACTAAAACTCCAGTTTTGGTGGTTTCAGGACCAACAAACTCGTAAAATAAAACAAATTATTGTGCGCGTGTCCAAGTAATGTTGCTTTGGAACCCCTTGACAGCACTGGCATTCCTTGCTACAGATTCTGGAGCAGAATGATAAAAATGAGACTTCGATGTTCACTCCCTCAATTAACAGCAGTACAGCACTCGGTGCAAAATTTATCAATCTAAATTGAGTGATTGTTCAAATTTTGTGTTTCTTCCGGCAAGAAAAAAAGTGTCATAGAGTATTCTGACTTCCCATAAATAGGTTACATTTTCACGTATTCAAAGGTACACGTCAACTTCGATGCAGAACAACAAAAACAGCCGTTCAATTTTGTTTTAAGGTAGTCAGATCTAGAGATGGTAAATTTCGAAATACTTTTGTTAAGCCGGTGAGGTGGCCAAATTCAGAACAAGCATAAGGTCAGTGACGTCACATTAACGTGTACACGCGGCAGCTACAGTGAAAAATCTAAAAAAAAAGTGCAACTTCGTCCTCTATTTTCTCTTATATTGTGTCACAGGCTAATAAATTGATTACTAATAGTGTTCTCGAGGAGTAATTTATTGGTTCGAACGGATTTTTTTTTCACTTTAGTGCAATTCTGTTTACAGGGCGGGTACGCTATACAATACACGAGTAAGACAGAAGCCTGGAGAAGACAATAGCCTAAAATAGCTAAGACCGAAGCTATAGCATTGTGCGGGCAAATCAAGCCAAGATAACGACAAGATATTGAAGAGTTTCGCAAACGGGCAGTGAAAGGGTGTGAATGTGATGAAAATTAAAAATATATATAACGTTTTTGTGAAGCGCAATCAGCTTGCTAGTAATAACTGTTGGGGTTTTACGACCCCAAAACCACGATACGATATGAAAGACGCGATAGGGGAAGGCTCCCGAAATGTAAAACATCAGGTGTCATTTAATTATAGTGCATCTAAATATAGGTGCACTATAGCCTCTAGCAATCCGCCTCCATGGAACTGCGGGGCCGTAATCGAACCCGCGACCTCCATGTCACTAGCCGAGCATGTAAGCACTGCACAATCCGAGCGGACCAGTTGCCTAGAAGAAATTATGCTAGTTGCAGTCTATTGTAGACATTACCAAGACAGGCCTTCAGCAAAGTCATCGATGACTATTCGAAGTGCCGATAGGCCGAAGAAATTGCGCCTTTAGATAAAAGGTTGCCTCGAATAGTAACGAAAGGCCCCGCCATGGTGGTCTAGTGGCTAAGGTACTCGGCTGCTGACCCGCAGGTCGCGGGTTCAAATCCCGGCTGCGGCGGCTGCGTTTCCGATGGAGGCGGAAATGTTGTAGGCCCGTGTGCTCAGATTTGGGTGCACGTTAAAGAACCCCAGGTGGTCGAAATTTCCGGAGCCCTCCACTACGGCGTCTCTCATAATCATATAGTGGTTTTGGGACGTTAAACCCCACATATCAATCAATCAATCAATCAATCGAATAGTAACAAAACAAAACCTTCATTCCCCCCCCCCCCCCCCTTGTTTGAAAGCAAGCAATACACACGCAGATTGCGCAAGACTGGATAACTTGGCAATCATTGGGAGAGACTTTCACTCTTCGAGGGACATATAAGTAAGCTTATTATGACTGATAAGAGAGATAAGACATGACGTAAATCTTTAGTGCATAAGTAATGCTTAAATTGCAGAAGTTTGTTCTTTTCGTCGTTTTCGTGACGAGCAATACCAGGACGAAAAACGGAGACACGCGACACGTACCCTAACAGTTGTCGTCAAACTTTATACCCTAAAAGCGAAAGCTGAACTTTATAGCGGCTGCTTCTTTGCCTTACGTGACCGGGTTGCAAAGCGCGAAGATAGAATGACACAGAAGGAAAACGCGTCGACCTATAGTACAATCCGAGGCCACCGTTTACGACCGTCGAAGATGCGTCTGAACCGTTTTCAACGAGGAAACCGATACTGACAATTTCCTTGTGTGGATCGCAACAGATAGTCCGGCGGTGTTTCTATTGAATGTCTGTTGACGTTAACACAAAAGTCTATAGCGACGTACGATTGAATACGTCACCTTTTTGACGCAGGGTTGAGACATTTGCGAATCCAGTACCGTGGCCCATGAACACCAGCACAACTCGATGAAAACCCGTCTTCGATCAGGCTGCAGGTGGCAATATATCCAGTATTTTCATTTCGTAAAATATACAAAAACTTTTTTTCACATTCACCGTGATGGTTTAGATGCTATGGTACTCGAATGCTCACCTTCAGGTTGCGGGATCGAATCACAACCATGGCGCCCACACTTCGAAACAGGCCGAAATGCTCGAAGTCCACGTGCTTTAATTTAGGTACACTTTGAAGAACACAAGGTGGTCCAAAAATTTGCGCAATCTTTGACACACCACGTCTCTCATAAGTGTACCGTGGTTTCGGGACGTGAAAACGCCAACAACGATTATTTTACTACCATTTTTTGACGGAGCAAAGAAATGTGGCCGTCTATGTGTACATGTTCGGCCATATCTAAAGTAAGCAGGTGATTTGTATTGAAGCCTTTGAAACAGTTACTCCACTCCACGGGAAAAAAAAAAAAAAATCTGTCATACTACGTGTACTCATAGTTTCGGTTAGGAGGTCTTGAACGCTATTGAACACTAAGGAAAGAGACGTTCGGCTGAGAAGTGGACGACCCTGTCCGAACTAACACATGATGTAAATACGAGAGTGTGACGGGTCTGTGAAGCTACATTATGTATTTTTGTTTTTGTTTTCTAACCATGTTTCATGGCGTCAGTTGAGGTTATTCAGAGAAGCGATTTGAATACGCCATCAATAACACGCACACAAAAAAATAAGTGTCTGAACTAAACCGCAAATCAAGACTGCGGCGAGCGAGATTGAGGTCGTACGTTTCATGGCGAGGGTTACGTTGTATACGCTCCACATACAGAGCGACGTGCAATACGCACGCAGTGCTGTAAGTACACCTGCGACGTTAGACAGGTGGGCGTTAGGACGGCGCTGCGTTCAACGCCACGCAGACGGGGAGGCGTCAACAACCTCTGAACCCTTCGCAAAGGTTGATCGCGCGCCACTTGAAAAGAGAGGCAACCCTCGCCCGATTGCGGGGCAATCGAACGAAACCACCACCGCCGCGCCCTCAACAAACAAACAAAGTAGCGAGGGCGACCGAGCTAGCGGAAGGAATCGCTTCCCGTTGGCATAAATTGGACCGTCAAAACAAACCAGCCCGCTACGTCATTCACCGCGCCTACGCGCGTCCCCGCCCACGGCGCAAACCCAGAAAAATTGGCAGGTGACGTCAACCCCTCCACGAGAGCAGGCAACACCCCCCCCCCCCCCCTACACACACGTATGCCAGCCGCCATCTTCTCAAGATATATCAACAGGTCGTCCCAAAGCGACCACCGCCAGAGCAACAGGTTGCAGGATCGCGAAGAAAAAATCTAATCGACCGCACGCACGCCCGAGGCCTCGCTTATTGTCAAACCGCACTGTCTGTTTCAATCTAAAGTGAGAGATGTCTTGAAACTAAACCGCAACCTGGACCGGAGAGCGGTTTCGGAAGAAGCCGAAACGTCACTACTACGGCGAGGGGAACAAGGCAGGTTGCGCCGCGTGTAGCAGACGATATCCGGACATTCCTTCGCATGCCAGAGAATGCGGCGAAGCCGCGTCGTTCTCGAGACTAGGCTTAGCGAAAAGGAGGGGGGGAGAAGAAAAAAAAAATCCAGGACTCGGACCGCCTGCGAGCCATTCGTTGCGTGGTGAAACGAGCCGCCAGGTCTTTCGTGCGAGTGACGTTTCGGCGAGGGAGAACGACGAAGAACGCGGCATTCATTTTTTTTTTTCTCTTCTGGCCACGTACGATCACGGCCGTAGGGTAGGACAGATACAGGGATATCGAAAGCGCAAGCATTATAAGTAGTATTCCGTAGCGGCGACCGCCTATGAAACCCTGGGCCGAACGAAACTGGTCCTTCTCACACACGCTACAGAACGCACCTCCGAGATGTGCCTGAATGGAAGACTCGATGTCGAGTTGGTGTATATTTTATGCCCGCACGGTCACACACACACACGCACGCACAAACTTCGATACCTGAATCGCTCGCCGGCTTGCAGGATGACCAGGTGTGGTGGTGTACGCTGCTTTCCAGCTGTCGGGAGGAAATAACACAATTGCCTCGCTTCGTTGGCTGATGTCGAGCGGGCGCCGTCACCAAAAACACTTCTTTTTCGGAGCGACTACGATGCCGCAAACCGGAGCACACCGTCTCGGACGGAGAGCGCACACGGATTCCAGCAGACGGCGCAACCGCCGCTGCAGACGTACACAACTCCGCACTGCACAGCGGTGGGCGTGCCACGAGTCCGGGACAACTGCCGACGACGAACTCTGGTAGAGTGAACCGCGGTTCGGACGTCCAAGAGTCGTCGGCCCACCTCGAGATGCGAACGGCTGCACCACGGGCGGAACCTCGGGGACTCCGCAGCCGCCGGGACGTGGCCCGCTCATTGGCCGACAAACCAGTTCCTACGGGTGTATTTTTTCCCCGTCCCAGAGCCGCGCTCATTGGCCCGTTACGCGAGCAGCGCCCGGCATTTTTGATGCTCTTCTTGTTGCTCTCGCTTTACCTGCGGCGGCGCCGTGACATGAATCGGACGCCGCGCCGCCGTAGCCTCGGAGATTGCTAATGCCCTGCGGGATGTCTCTGAGGCAGGGTGCGACGTAAGAGCGTGTGCGCCAGACGGTACTCAGATGGCGCCACTTGCAAATTTTTCGCGTCGTTTGCGTTTGTGAAAGTATTCACGAATAGCGTTAGACACGACAACAAAAGAAATACAGACGTAATTGATTGAGGAAACTCTTCACGTGGATAAGAATACAGCTTTATCCAGAACTATCAATTTCGTAGGTTGAACGCGTTACAAACACCGCACGAACATATATTGTTTGTAACCCCACAAAAACAAACAAACAAACAAACAAAAAAACATTTTAAGCTACTCCTATCCACCACCTTCCAAATTGGCACCTGTCCATAACAGGGTTTTGGCACAAAAAAAGTTATCGAAGTTGTCTGGTAACAACATGTAAAATCGAAATTCTGCATTAACCTTTCCCGTAACGTATTTTAGCTTAATATGTTTATTTTTCTCCATTTAAATGATCGCTCACAACATCGGGTTGGCGTTGCAGTGTCTATCGCTTAAAAGAAGCCAATTGCTGGGATTGTGCCGAGACCAACATCTCTACGCTAAGTTTTCGCCGTAGGAAGTGCTTGCCATTGATTGGCCGGTATATCGACTCGACGTCTATTTCGCTGCTGAAATCGCTATTGGCAAATAAATTTTTAAATGTCTCCTAAGTTCGTATACAGATACAAGGAACCACGTACGTGGAAGATAAATTGAACTTTAATACTAACCAAGTTTATTTCTGCTATTAAAATATGGGCACTTTGCTATAATTAGCTGACAGCATTACGATACGCTGCTAGATGTGGAGTTACTGCATATATCCTTCACATAAGGAGCTGATAAAACAGACAGACAATTAAGGGGAGCACGGGGAATTTGTGGTTTCCTAACTATATTGTAATATTTCGCACTCAAATTGATAAAAATAAAAGGACAAAAAAATCCCACTCCGAAAGCACTACCATCGGAGGTTCGAAAGTGGCGGGTTACACTAACGTAAAAAGTGATTTTCCTCCACTTTAATTATATGTATTTAAGCTATAATAATTAAATTGAAGTTTTAAAGCGTACAAATAATATTCCCCGCGTGTGCTTCACTTCGCTCAATTGTCTGTCGCAATCAGTGGTCGTGTAAAATGCAAAAAAAAAGAGCATATAGTTCCTTGTGCAATTCTCTCGCGTCCATATGGGAGTCGCACACAGTTACCCTAATAATACGAAAACTCTAGAGGGATTTGCATTTGAGGAAAAAAAAAGTAGTATACGCATATTTTTTTATTTGTGCTGATTGATATGTCCCAAAGAAACATACAGATTATGTATGGACAGCTGTAAATGAGATATGTCGCGCCGTTTGAATCCAATAAACATTCGGGAGTCGTATTAAGATGCGACGTGTTCTGATTAAACGGACTAGTTCAGGAGCTGTATTCGGATGCAGTATAGCTTGCAAATAAATAAGCTGATTTGGCAACTTCGCAAGTGGTATCCCGATGTGGTACTTGGCGATCAGGTATAGAAACGGCGCGAGTTATATCTTTCCGTAGTACATACAGCGACAAATGGACAGGTAACAGGACTTTTGTGAGTGATACACTATTATTAATTATATAAAATGTGTATTTATTTAAACACCTAAGCACCCTCAGTGGGGGAAGGGTTTTTTGGGGGAGGAAAAACAGGGCTATAATGTCATAGAGACAGAGCAAGCACAAAAAGAATTCCCACAATTACAAGACCCACTGAAGAATGATGAAGAAAGCGACTCAGAAAGCCAACAAAAAAATAATTGAATAACATAACAGAGATAAAAATCAGATCAAAATGAACTGTCGTGAACAGAACAGAAAAAGCGCTTATCCTTGGGGCGCCTGACGATTAACCGATAGGTACGCAGAAGCCTCACAAGTCGTGTTCTGGTGTAGAGTCGTTGGCAATATGAGCCGGAACCGTGAAATTATACACCTTTGAAGCGTCACAGTGGCTAAACGTATTTGACAAGCGCGAGAGTGTTTATGACACCTATATGTTCAAGCGGAAAGGCGCGTCTCGCGTTTCAATGCGCGTGGCATACCTGTCAGCACTTTAAAGAAGTGTCCGTTGAATAAAGATGAATTCGATGCCTGCAGCTCGCCGTAATCGTCACTGGTACACAGCGATTTAACTGACAAGTCTGAAAGTATCGAGAGTTCGCAATTGCGGTTAGCGATTGCGACTGGTAATTGCCGTTCGCAGTTATGCGAATGGTACACGGCTGCAAGAACTTTGCGGTCAGACAAAACAGACGTGTGAACATGGCGAGTAGTTTCATTGTTGTGGTGCACACAGTGACAAGAGCTTTCACTGAAACGTCCTGCAGGAAATCGGGATGAGCCGGATGGCTCCGTATAGTCAATTTGGTGGCTTCGACCACGACGAATCCGGAAGGTGAAGACTCCCAGCGGAATCACCAGCGCCCTAAACAGCCTGGAGAATTGGCGTTCGGAAAAGTCCATATACCGTTCGGTCTTGTGAGTTGGAGCCCGTGTTGGACGGGCTGCGGCCGGAGCATACGACCGAAAGAACGGCATTCGCGTATATCAACACTTGGAACGCGACTGCAGTAAACTGAAAACATTCCTGATAATAAGGGTTGCAGCGCGAGCACGAATGTGCTAGAAGAAACAGACGAAAGTCGAGGTACGGAAGGCAAAGAGGACAACACGAGCGCTGACTACCAACTGGCTCGTGTTGTACTCTTTGCCTTCCGTACCTCGACTTTCGTCTGTTTCTTCTAGCACATTCGTGCTCGCGCTGCAACCCTTATTATCATGAATTCAAACCAACTAGCCCAAATCGCCATTCTTCTTGAAAACATTCGGTTGCGGTAGTATACTTTGCGATTCAACCGGCGGGTCTATCCGCGACAGAAAACTTCTTTATTCTTCCCGAAACCTCTCGTAGTCTGCCGCACTTCCCTCGCTGGATCCAACGAACGTGATCTGCGTCGTCTGCGCAGCAGGAAGACCGACCAGACGTCCTCTGTTTTGTGTTACTGTATACTGCTGCCGGACCACTTTCCCAAGAGATGTGGTCGCACGCTCGCCGTTGGCGCGGTTCTTTTGGAGGAAAAAGAAAAAAAAAAAAGACAGCAGCCTCGCATAAACGTGCGAGACGTGCCTACGCATGCTAATTACGTCACGTGCGGCCGGCGGCGCAGGATAACCCCACGTGCACAGTTTCCTAGTTAATACAGTATAGTGAGAAAACACGGTTCAGCAGACGTGATCACTGTTGGGCGGAACGGTACGCTGTATACAGACGGTACAGACTTGGACTTGTTGGCTTCGCTTCGTAGCAGGCTTGGCTTCTACAGCATACTTCCACAGCAACTACACGAAATAAACGCTTATGTGGTTTAGCCAGCGCAAAGTCCGAATAACAATATCGGGAATTTTGCGTCCCAAAACCACGACGTGATTCTAAGAGACGCCGTAGTGAAGGGCTCCGGTAATACGGAACATCTGGTTCTGCTTTCACGTGCTCCGACTTCGCACACTACACGGGTCCTCTACCATTTCACCTCCATCGAAATGCGTCCGGTATCGAACCCGCGACCTTTCGGGTAGGCAGCCGATCAACCAAACCACTACACCACCGTGGCGGACGGCGCCAAATCCCGTCAGTCTTTCTTTTCCCGTGTTTATGCGCCGTTCCCCGCTTTGAAGCCGTCTTAGATGTCTTCATCGACGCACAGTAATGCATTTCAAGGGTCCGTGGCGTAGTCGTTTGGAAGTCCATCCAGTTTCGCTCGGAAATTTTTACGTTTTGTAAGTTATATATGCGCGCACACATACATGCACACGCGCGAACGTATCATAAAGGGGGTCTAACCCCCAATCCCCTGCCCTGACAATGAAATAAATTCAGGAGCCTTTGTCCTGTCGAGAAAAGGTGGCAGAGCCTTGGCGTATATGCTTGCTTGGCGTTCATTAATTAATTATTTAGTTCTTGCATTGCAAAATGCTCCCCCTCGACTTCTTTCCTTGAGTGGCCCTTCACCCACGTGCTTAGCAGCCCGACGCTTCAGTTGTCGCAAGCTGCAATCAACGACGGCCATATTCGTTCATGTCCGTGCAACACTGAAATCACGTGGCAGCGTCACGTGGTAGCTCACAGAATGCCATTTCTGAAACGGCCCATTGCAAGACAAGCCCACGACGGAAACAGCCCCAAATATTGGAGAATCTCGCATACGAATACACATGTGACCAAGCGTACACCTTTGGGGGCCGCCGTTTTGTACGCCCGCCGATGCCACGCTTTTAGCGTAAAGGCCTGACTACACGTGTACGGTGGTAGTGGTTAGAAGATGAGAAAAGGCACCTAATTTCTGCAACCCGGTCGGGAGCACGGCGCAGTACCTATATATACGCGTTGCAGCGCGTCGCTTTTCGAAGCGGCGCCGCGCCCTCCCCCAATGGAGAGAGACAACGCGCGTTGTCTCTCTCCCACGCGTTGCAAGGCCACGCGTTGCAATGCCACGCGTTGCAAGGCGCGCATGTGGTCAGGCCTTAAGATTAACACCGGTATACCGAAACCTGTGTTCCTGTGTGCCTCAACAAGCTACGCTTGAAAGATTATTTCTAAATGCATCTGGGACATAATGATGCTTCACAAGTATACCTTAAAAGGGCAAGACCCCATAGACCTTTATGAAATCCAAACGAGGCCAGGCCTATAGCCAAATTTATTACGATTGCACAAAACTTTTTTCTAGTATGGGTGTGATTGTCTGCGGTGTCGCGACTGGACAGCGACCCCCCCACCACATCTCTATATACCAAACCCAGCAACCTCAATCACTTGCTGCATAACTTGGAATAGAAGAATCTTTGGAACAATAAGACGTATACATTCCTCGCCAGCTACCCGGAGGTGCTGTTGGCGCTTCTGAACCACGTTCGGCTGGTAACTCAAGACAGTAGAGTCTTGGACGTGGGCCCGTTCTCATCTAGCTCCTGAAACCCTTCTTTCCCCAAATGAAAGTTTTCTTCATATATAGCAGCTTAGATCTTGGATCTGCTCAAAGCCGCTGACGGAATGGCGGAATTTGACAAGACGTAAACTCTTGCATCCCTATTGCGCTCGAATGAGCAGCAATAGGTATGGCGATGCCAATCGATGTTGTACACTGAGATAGCGCAGTATGCATAGGCGTTCGTCTGGGTGGGGGGAGGGGGGGGGGCAGGGTGGTTGGCTGCCACATAAGAAGGGGCGGAGAACAGTCATCCCGAACTTTGCTCGCCCCCCCCCCCTTCCCCCTGGAAGGAAACCATGCGCGCACCTATGGTAACATGACCACATTTCGTGCCCGCATACAATCGGGCCTCAACAATCAACTGAGCAAAAGATAAGAAGCAGGTCTTCACCTTTCAGTCGTCCTGAACGAACGTATAAGGGGCAGTTCTTTTTTTCTTCTTCGTTTGAGGACGATATATTCCTAGGCTTCTTCAACCCACGTTCTGCAACGAAACGTACCCGATTTCCCACCAAATAAAACTACCGGATTTGCAGCCATACCACCAGCACTGTAAATGTTTGGCAACTCTTGGCCGATCGCTTCAGCCATAATGCCAATGGATTGCTAAATTATTGGCATTATGGCACGAACTAAAACGAATCTGCTCAAGTAAACATGGAATTACACCCGGCGGGGGTGTCACAAGCACGAGCCGTTTCTGCAACTTTGGCTATAGAGCTTGAATAATTAGAGTTGGTGATACTGTGTGACACTAGAACACCCCAAAAGACATCACCACCACCTGTCACCTTTACGTTATTAAACATACCAAGCGTATACAAAACGCGGTACGAGTCGTTTTCATATTTACAACAACTACTTGTTTACCAATAAAAGGGTACAATTTTGACACACAATAATTCAGTTTTCTCCACATTTCAATTTCGTCAATAATTGGAGGAAACGTGACAGCAAGACATGGCACGACGCACCATACTCCTCGCCTTGGGTACAGTACGCTATGCCACTGTAAGGCCCCCGAAGCGAGAATTCTATTTTCAACGATGGTCCGATGTGGTGTCGCGCTTGTTTGTATGTCCCTCCCAAATTTTTTTTTTCGGCATGGTATCAAGACACAAAGTGACACTCGAACACATGTATCTGCCCAGCCACCAGTTCAGATCAACGAGGTGTCCCCTTCATCCCCCTTAAAACACACACACACACACACACACACACACGCACACACACACACACACACACACACACGCACGCACGCACGCAAGCACGCACGCACGCACGCACGCACGCACGCACGCGCGCGTAAAAGATGTTTGCCTACTCCCTTGCTCTAAATAAACACAAGTGTGACGCACCGTTCGCGGGCATCTGGACCATGCTTACCGGCGGCGTAAGTATGCCCGTAGTCGGGAATTTTTTCGGGGTGGAGGTGGGTCTTGCTGAAGCTCGGGAAAAACGCCTATTGTCACTGATTTCGGCCAACCGTTCATCAAAATTTCAGGAGTGGGGGAGGAGGGGGATGGGGCACCGCTTTCCCCGACTACGGGCCTCACAAGCACCCATTTCCAGTAATCTTTTTACACTCTCTTCGACGTCATGCTATATATTGACCATCCACCGGATTTTTCCCCTGGAGTGCAAAGGCATCGCCAGAAATTTTTTTTCGCAGAGGGGTGAGGGGGCGACCATTATCTATGTTCGTGCGTGCGTTTATATGTGTGGGTGTGTAAGCAAAAGTGAAATATTTTAGAAAAAAGGAGCTGGAGTCCACCCACCCCCCTTCCCCAGATACGACGCCCATGCTGGAGGGAATGTGAAATATCACGCCCTCCACGAAAATTCCGGGAGAGTTTTGTTCCCCGCTGCTTCCAACGGACATTTTCACAAGACGCGTTCACGATCGAAGCACGCCACACGGCGCGAGAATGGCGGCGGGAAATTGATTTAAAACACGCGCGCCGAGTAGTGCGCGCTAACCCACGTGACAGCGGTGGCCCAATAGGGAGGCAGAAGCGCACAAATCGGGGTGCCGCGTAGACATGAAGGCGGAAAGCCGCTGCGGAGGCAGAAAAGTTCAAACGATGACACCACTCTTTACCAAGAGGGCCTATACAGGCCTTGCTTTAAAGCCCCATGCATCTTGTGTTTCCCAATAGCGTGCGCTAACGCACGCATGTATAATGCTGAATCAGAACACAGTTACAATCACATACGTAATGAGTTGACCCTTTTGCAAATGCCGGTGTAACTTCAGTAGCGTAGCCCGGAGAGGACCTTTTACACCCACTCCCTCCCCAAATTTCTCGATTTTGCATGTGTGTTTATATACACGTAATTACGAACATGCTCGAACCTACATCAACATATGCACTGGTTTAAAGGTACAGCTTTCTCAAGCAGATTTCAATTGACAGCAGCCGTCGTAAGTATGCCAGTGAATGTTTTGTAAGTAAACCATCACGTGAAATCACCAACGTTATACAGATAGCTTTATATGCATTGTCAACTGCTCATAACACTGCTGCATTTATACTTTGATTGTAGTGTGCATACATGTGATGTTTTAAGGTATGTAACTAACTGTTACTACTGAGTTATATAGCGGTGTATGCAACATTTTTGTGAACCTTTGTTACGTACTTGTATACAGTACTTGTATATTGAAACAAGAAAATTTATTGCTAAGCAATGCACGTGCCTTTGTTACCACCAGCATCTGGACTTCATACCATATCAGTAGTTTTGACTTGATCCCTTCCATCAAAGTACGGCGAGGTTTTTGCAGAGACATATCACAGTTATCATGAGCACTCGTGCATAGTAATTCTACTAAAAAAAATAGAAAAGATGTCTTGTTTCAATTCATGGGTGCCACACAGTTGCAAATACCATGTCACCCTAGTGGCACGTGATACCATTATTAAACATTTATTGAAAAAGAAATTGCAGCAAAACGTTTAAAGAAGCTTAGTGGATCTTAACAAGTACTTGTGAAAAAAGAAGTGCACATGTGGCATTTAACATGGAATAAAAAGTGAAAGCACGTAACGGTGAAGAAGTTTGTCATTTTAATCACAATTATTTGTGGAAAACAGTGAAAGGCACAGTTGGTCCCAATATGTTGTTCCAAAAATATGTTTAAAAAAAAAAGGTTAAATATAACATGACAAAGAATGTGTGTTCAAATACCATAACTTAAATGCCCATGTTCCAAGATGTAGGACTCCGGAAAGATCCAATGCGCTCAATGCAGGCTCGCTACTTCTCGAACACTAACATAACTGATGAGCAGCCGCAACAAGCGAAAGGAACAAATTAAAGCACACGTAGTGCAATACTGCTTTAAGGAAGCAGTGCCGATTGGTGTAAATCTGTCACAAGACCTCTCTTAATACGCAAATTGTGCAGATCTGCCAGCACAAACTATGGATCCCCACGAAACTTCGGTAGCGCTACTGTCCTCCAGTTGTCATCCCAACGAACAGCCTGCCACTTGTGGACGTTAGCCCTGAGGGAGTCCAGAAGTTTTGTAGGCTCTGGAAATCCTTGAAGCAGGTCCTGCAGGAATTTTCGCATTTAATCTATAATGGGAAGTTGGATATTCTTCTAGATAAATGCTGTACTCGTGGATTTAAGCACGACATCAGATTTTGTAGAATAACGACTAATATACACACACTTGCTTGAGATAACGGCTTCATGTTGCGATGAAGCTGGCCTCTAAAGATAACGCTCCCTCTTATCAACAAGTCTGTGTCAAAACTACGCCGATATGACTCCGAACCGAACACGGTGAAAACGAAAGTATGTGCGTGACAGCCATAAATTGTCCCGTTTCACTACATGAACACTGTACATTACAGCAGTTCTCTTTCGCATCCAGGACGTCACATGCATAGCCTGCTTTCATATGCAACATTTTTAAGCATTAATTTCTTCCTTGAACAATTTAGTGGTATAATCTGTCACCTAATGTTTCTTCAGATGACACGAGCTTTGCTAAGACCATCCAAACCATGATAGAACTTTCACTTCAAACTGGGCGTTTCTGTAGCCTCACTTGTTTGGATTGTCATTGAATATTACTGCTTCACTTGAAGCGTCTGCGTATGCAGATATAGATATATATATATATATATATATATATATATATATATTGTGCAAGTGTCTAATTGCTTTCTCTGTGCTTTAAGTCATTGCTTCATTGGCCTGACTGTTCTTATTCTCACATTTTGTTTTACTTTTGTAATTGATCATCTATTGTATATTCTCTATAGTTCGATTATTCCTTTTTTTTATGGGTGGATAATTGTTCATTATTCCAGTCCCTACCAGCCTTCCGTGACCACAGTAAATTCTAAATAAAGAAAAATGAACAAATAAACACGAGGCAAAGTTCACGACAAAGAAAATGTTATCTCACTGTCAAATACCCGACATCAGAAGGACCAAGTATATTTTATGTGCCAGTAATGTCATGCTGTTTTAACAAAAAAAAATAGAATGCATTTCTTGGTTAAGTGGCAATCATGAAACTTAAGATAGCCTACAAAAAGCTTTAAGATGTGCTAAAGCGTGACAGGAATGTTATGCGAGTTGAGAGAACACGCACAAGTATACTAGTAGTACTCACACATATGTGCTGACACAGCTGGTCGCTGGTTTCAAACACAAGGCCGGTTTCTCCTGGCTTGACTAGCTCCCTCAAGCTGCGGAAAAAACAAAAACAAGTCACATACGCGGCCATAAGTCTTCTGTTGCTGCTCGGGATACACACATTTGATAGAGCTAACAGAAACCTTTAAAGGGGTAGCGACACAAAGATTTTCAGTTTATATTTGATATCAAATGAGAAATCACACCCTCAAGAGCCTAGAAAATAAATTGACAATCCTGACTGCAGCCTGAAGAACTACGTTTTTTTCTTTGAAAAGGCAGTTTTCCTGCCTACTATACCTTGGTATCACGACACTGTTTCGTCACATGCCCTGCGAGGTATCACGGCTCCGTTGGCGACACACAAGTAGGCATTTTGAATGTTTTGGTACACGACGTCATCTCAACTCGCCATACTAGCGCATGAAGTCACCGGATTCGTTACTGCACCCTGAAGTAACGACAGCATCTATGTCACTAGGCATCATCATATACTCTCAAACGTGATTAAACAAAGTTTTAGCTGACACAAAAATAAGTTTTTCATGCCTAAAAATTCGTTTAAGGTATAGTATTTGCTGTCTATTGCAATAGACAGTGAATATACCTTTAACAATTTATGTTGTGACAAATATTTCGTTACATCCGCCTTCGTTATATCGAGCTTTCAGTGTACCAGCATTTATCGCACTTCACATTTTCACAGAGCTGTTTCTGTATTCGAGAGATTCGTATGGCAGAGAAAATTCGCCTTTGAAAATTGGTGCCAGCACCCCATTAAAGGGCCAGTAAGGATTCCCGAGATGAAATTATAATGAAAAAAAAAAAGCTGCAAAGTTTTTTCGTGACCGCTATATCTAGTTTTCGTTTCTCACTCAGCCTAACATCCAACCTCCGCCGCTAAAAAAAGGGGAGGGGCAGGCATAATCCATTGTCATGGCTATGCCCACTTCGAAAACTTAACATGACGTCTGCCATTAATATTGTAATCTTCTGATGATTCTTTCACTTTCCGATTCATACAAAATTTTTGCCCTTCAGCCAACAGTCTCTCTCCGATTTCAAATGTTAAACTTAGCAGGAGGGCTCCTCTACATCTACACTCTTTGAAACTCCACTTTCTCACAGTTGAGAAATCGTTCCGGTTAGCATTTGAAGGTCTGAGATGATTGAGTGCCCACGCTGCTGTATTTGACACCTCCGCTGACCACTGAGAACCAAGGTATGACGACTTCAAACAACCAATGTCCAGTCTAAATTTCTAATGATTAATTGTAATCTATCTTTCTAAGGCTTTTAAAACCACATGCAAAGCGCTCTGATGTTTTTTAACAGCATTTAATATACTAAAACCTCAATTTCACAAAGTTTCATTTTACACGACAATACCTTTGTTATATCCGAAAATTCGTTATAAAAGTATATTCCCAAGACTATTGCAAGACTATTATTCATTTACTTCGTTATAACAGACATTTCATTACATCCTGGTTCGTTATATCGAGGTTTCAGTAAGTGCTGGCTTACCACGGGTAGTCGACGGCGCAGACAGGCAGGCCGCAACCGAACATGTCGACAACCTTCATCGGCAGGTCCAGCTTGCTCGACGAGGTGTGAAGACACACGCCAAGGTCTGCGGAGCCTGCGGCAACAGAGTTTTGGCAGTATGGGGACATGTGGTCAGGATGTGTGTAACTGTTAACGATTATTGACATTTCTCACTGGTTGGTTTTTCGTTGTCTGCGAGTAAAAAGTAGCCTGTCAGGCGTGTGTGCCCAATTTGGAAATGGCATAATATAACTTTGACAAACTACTCTAGGTACCTACAGGTCTTTCATTCTCCGAGTACGAGCTTTGCCAGGTGAAGCTTATTAAAAGAGACAGAATGCGGGCTTGTTGGCTGTGCATAGTTGACACTTGCGACACACTGTATGAACTTGCACACAGAAAAAGAACATGGTACAGAACACAAGTGTGAAATGTGAGTATTTACTAGTATATTTTTTCACGAGTCTTCGCGTAAAAAGAGCATCTTGCAAGTGCCAATGAAGCTTATTTGTGCAAGAGGGGTGCTGTTGTTGCCATTTATCTAACAATGCTGTACGAATTGTCCTCTGGTGGTCTTCAAGAGGAATTTTCATTTTGTAACTGCTTCGCGAGCTGCTAAGGAAGCATATTTATCGGCTTTTTTGTTGCCAGGTATCCTATCATGGCTTGGGACCCAGCAGAAATGAATAAAAACTCTCTCTCTTCAAAACTATGATATTCAAAATGTTGCCAGCAAAAAGTTTATGCTCAGATTTTAGATGTAGGGCTTTTAATTACTAACAAGCCAGCATATATTGTCTTCTTGTGACAACAAGGTTATATACAAAAATTTGTTATAAACATAGTATTTGTAGAATTTTATTTATTAGAAGGCCAGTGTTAATTTACTTTGTTGTAATTGGTAACTTGCCCTTGAACCTCGCAACGTCGTGGTTCGAGTGCATGCACGTATGCATGCACGTTACAAATGTTTGTTGCTATTTCCGGGAATACCGTGATGGTCATGTCTTACAGACCTTGCAGTGAATGCCACTAACCTAGCATCTTGGCGTAGTCCTGCGCTGACAGCCAGGGCATCAGAAACTTGACATGAGTCAGCGGGTGATTGTGAATCAGTGCCCGGTAGTACTCCTTTAGCAGTCCCTTGCCTGCATGCAAGCATGCATCGCCATTGGCAAACACCTCTGAAAGATGGTGAGAGACGGCACCGAAATTGCTTGGTGGCTCCCATTTTTTATCCACTAGACGCCCATGTGCTTAGACTCAGTTGCACACTGAAGAACACCAGGTGGTAAACATATTCAGAGTCCTCCACCCCGGTGTTTTGCGTAGTAGTTTTGTGGTTCTCGGACAAAAAAAACCTGAATTATTATTATCATTATCTTGCTTATCAAGAAAACCAGTAGAGGTAAGTTACCTCACCCTTGTACTGTCAATGGGAAGATTATACAGGGCTTATTTAACGTACACGTACTATATCGAATATGCACAATGTACATACTGCGAAAAATGCAAATTTACATACTTCGTGGAGCCATGGCATTTCAGATTTATAGAATCGCGATCTCAGTCGAAAACAAACACTACGGGAAATCCCCGAGATCAAGGCTACATGGCCCGGTTCTGCAGAAATTCAGTTCGTTTTGCAACTCCTGAGCGTAGTAATCTTACATGACTGTCACACAATTTTGCATGTCAGTATACCGTCTTGGTTTCACACATGGCCAGCCACCCCGGGCAAGTGATTATGAGCACTGCAGTCTCCACATGTTACATGTCTCCACATGTGTGCATGGCAGCAGCGCACTAGGCGCTTCCAGCAAAATGCTAAGCCCCTTCTGCTTTATCGTTCAGGTGTCGGCTGCGTGGATTACAGTGGCAGCGTCAACGTTTCACCGAACACACGTATCTTCACTTTATGTGAATTCACTCTGCCGAACGCACTGAAATCTGCGCACGCTCCTTGCTGGATAACATCTCATCACGTGGACAAGCCTGCTGCTATAAGAAGACCAACACCACAAGCAGCAACCAGTGTGCATGGCAGCAGCGCATTAGGCGCTTCCAGCAAAATGCTAAGCCCCTTTTGCTTTATCGTTCAGGTCAGTAGATACTTGCCTACCCATTGCTTCAGAAGCGATAACCGCTTTTTGCTGCTGCTGCCATGCCCACCGATTATTCAAAAATTTGTTATAGATATTTACACATTTAAAGTTAGCCTTTTGTCATGTGGTGACGTTGAACCTAACCCTGGCCCGACAGAAAAGGAATTGTTGATGCAGTTACTTTCAGGTCAATTCAACATTTTAGCTAAACAAGGTCAAATTAAAATAGACATTATCAAATTAAACGACCATATTGGAAATTTGGAACATCAACTAGCCCCATTACTTTCACTTAAAAATGAAGTAGACGAAATGAAAAAAACAGTTGCTAAACTTAAAGAAGCTGTAGGTCTTGCAGCGCAAGGAAATGAAGAACTTGAAAATAGGAGCAGGAGAAATAATCTAGTTATATATGGCATTGAAGAGGCTGTCTCTGAAACTACTGAAAGTCTAACAACTACTATCGAAGAAAACTTGTTCTTACAAAAACTTGGAATTACTGTAAATGGCATAGAGCGATGCCACAGACTGGGTAAAAAAACCACTAGAAATCGTCCTGTGATAATAAGGTTGTTGGACTATCGCGAGAAAACGTCAATACTTAAAGCATGTTTCAAGCTAAAGGGATCTCCTGTTTTGGTCACTGAGGACTTTCCTGCCGGTATTAAAGAAACCAGGAAGAAATTGTGGCAAACGGCAACGCATGAAAAGGCAAATGGTTCAAAAGTAAAGCTGGTATATGATAAGCTGTATGTAGATGACATTTTGTATGGTTGGGATGAAACCAACAATAAAAGGTATAAAATTTCAAAGCGTAACAAATGACACCAGAAAGCAAGTACCCGTAATCTATCTATCCTTAATGTAAATTGCCGTAGCATTGTTAATAAACCTGTCCTGCTTGAAGCCCCGTGTCTTACTCATGAACCGGACATTGCTGTGCTTACAGAGACTTGGTTAAACGATGAGGTATCTGAGAGCGAATTTGTTCCGAAAAATTACGTCTGCTTTCGTAAAGACAGGGACAGGAGAGGTGGCGGGGTTGCTATATTATTTAGAGCATATTTACAACTCGTTAGAATGCCTAATATTGCAGGTGTTGAAAGCATTTTTTGCACTACATATATAAACAAAATGTGATACATTCTCGGAGCTATTTATAGGCCTCCTGACTCCTCTGTCTCGGTTCTAGAAAACCTCGATTACATGTGCTCTTATATAAAACCAAATGACAGGTTAATTCTCTCGGGTGATTTCAATTTTCCAAGTATAAATTGGAATACTTTTTCCACACAGTCTTCAGATCTAAGTGACATTAAAATACTAGACATGATTTTTAATTATAATTTGCTACAGATTGTATCTCAACCTACTAGAATTCAAAGTGCAATTTCAATCCTAGATCTCTTCTTTGTTAGCAGTACTGTAAAAAATCATGTATTGTGTGATGTTGTACCAGGAATATCTGATCATGAAGCTGTCATATTAACCTTAACTGATGCTTCGTATGTTGATTCCACTGTCAAGCACCAGTACCCGAACTTTTCTCGCGCTGATAATGAGTCAATCCTCGATTTTTCTGGACCTCTCCTTCAATGCTTTCACAGAAAACACCAGCAATATAAACGATCTATGGCTAACTTTCAAAGACATTGTTCAGGAATGTATAGCACGCTACGTACCACTAATAACTAAAAAATCAGCTGGTAAAAATGCTTGGATCACTCGACAAACTCTCCAGCTACAACGAAAACTTAGAAGACTAAAAAAGCAAAAGGCCAGAAATTCGGTTTGTCCTCTACTTGACGAAGCCATTGCTACATTAGCAACAAAACTAAAACTACAAACTCAGGAGGACAAGGCAAGGTACTATGGTATATCACTTCCTTCCTTTATTAAGACGTCTCCAGAAAAGTTTTGGAGGTCTATTAAACCGAGTTCATGTGGCACTACTTCATTTCCTCCTAACGGAAAAGTCATAAGTGATGACACAGCGGCATCCAATGCCTTCAATAATCATTTTAAATCTATTTACAACAGACAATAATTTCCTTCCAGTGCTTAGTATGTCTTTTCCACCTATGCCGGATGTAAAAATTTCCGAGCAGGGCATTTTTAACCTTCTGCTTAATATAGATGCTAAAAAATCTCCTGGCCCGGACGATATCCCAAACGCCTTCTTAAAAAGATATGCAGAGTGGTGTGCAAAGTATTTGCTGATATTATTTAAAAAATCTCCGAGTGAAGGCGCATTGCCGACTGGAAAACTGGAAAAAGGACTGGAAAACCGCCAGAATCAAACCACTGTTTAAATCTGGTGATAAATCCAACATTGCAAATTATCGGCCTATTTCGTTGACATCTACTTCATGCAAAATCTTCGAGCACAATTTATAAGCACATAGTAGATTTCCTTGAAAAGCATGAATTCCTAACAGATGCACAACACGGCTTCAGACGTGGGTGTTTTACTAACACACAATTACTTGGAATTACACATGACTTCGCGGAGGCTATGAACAAAGGAAAACAAACAGACGCTATTTATATGAATTTTAGTAAGGCGTTTGATAAAGTGTCTCATAATAAATTACTTCACAAGTTGGGCCTTATTGTAACAAATCATACGATATTAGCATGGATTAAAGCTTACTTGACAAACCGGTATCAATACGTTTCCCTAAATAGCACCTGCTCCAACACAGTTGAAGTTGCTTCTGGTGTACCTCAGGGGTCCGTGCTTGGGCCTCTTATTTTTAATTTTTATAAATGACATCGCCACCAACATTAATGTTAAGATTAAACTATGCAGACGACTGCGTGATTTATGAAACAGTCAATTCAATTCAGGACCAGATTAGGTTAAATGAAAACTTCCAAAAAATCATTTCATGGTGCGAACAGTGGCAGATGACTTAATTACGACAAAACGGTCTTTATGCGAATAACCCACAGAAAGAAGCCACCTTTATTTCACTACGCAGCTCATGGAATAGGCCTCTCGGAGGTTGCTGAATATAAATACCTGGGTTTATGGTTCACAAATAATCTATCATGGTCAAAACATATAGATGTCATCCCAAATAAAGCGTTACGTAAATTATTCTTCTTGCGACGATCCTTAAAATTAGCAACTCCTTTTGTACGCTTCCTTGCATACCAGTCAATTACCACCATACCATACCAGTCAATTATATGTCCCATGCTTGAATATGCCGTGCCAATTTGGGACCCTTACACCAAAACAAACATCAGCAAATTAGAAAGAATACAAAATAAAGTAGTGCATTATATTTATAATTCTTATGGTCATTCGTCAGTGAGGTCATCAAACGAAGTGGGCTACCCACAGTTACGAAGAGAAATAAAATTTGTGGACTGAAACGTTTGTACCAAATAGTTAAAGGACATTACAACATAGATACCTCCCACATTATCACTTTTTCTGAGGGTTATGCTACCATGCAAAGACACTCTTTAATGATAGCTCCTTTATTTTCACAAAATAATTGCTTTAAATACTCTTTCTTCTGTAGAACTATTGCTGATTGGAACAACCTAACTAATAACATTGTAACACAAGAATCACTTTCATTGTTTGAAAAATGCTTAGAGTAGTTTTTTAGTACCATTGATTATATCTTATGTTGCACTTGTTCCTTTTTGTGTGTCACTTGTAAAATTCGATTATCAGTTAAACGGAATCTTTTTTCCAACGATGTATCCTCTGTATATTCTATATACCCTACTTGGCATTTCACTAATTACTTCGAATTTTGTTTCGCATCCCTATTTTTAGTGCTTTAACTGTATGCATTATATTGTCCGCGTTATGCATTTTCTGCGTGTATATTATTTTGCCCTTTCAGAATACTCTGTACCTCTGTCTCACACCTGCTATAGTCTCTGTTCGAGACTGCAGTATCAATAAATGAATAAATAAAAAATGGTTCTGCCATTTCAAAACGGTCCTGCCATTTCAAAACGGTCCTGCCATTTCAAAACGGTCCTGCCATTTCAAAACGGTCCTGCCATTTCCAAACGGTCCTGCCATTTCAAAACGGTCCTGCCATTTCAAAACACTACGCTTTTCGCAAAGCAACCCTACTTCAGATTACTTGCACAACTTGTGGACGCGAACGTAGCTCTTTAAAGTACGTCTCACTTGTGCACCACCGTTCTATTACATAATATTCTACAGCACAACCTCTGTTGGGTGTTTTCTCGTGTAACATTTCTGATGTCCAATACCAGCGAAGACTTCACAGACATTTTATGCATAGAACTTTTGTCTTTCATACAACAACCATATAACATTATTGCCTAATACATCATGAGGTTTTGATTGATATGTGGCGTTCAACGTCCCAAACCACCATATAATTATGAGAGACGCATCATGAGGTTTTGCTGTGCTGAATATGCTGAAGAGGTATGCCAATGAATTTCGCAATATGGACTGTGGCAAGGCCACCCAAGTGCTTGACAACAGTCTGGTTCTGCCAGAGGAATAGTAGTGTCAGAATTTTATGCAGTACTTCTTTGAAGCCTTAACTTTGAATGGCTTGTGCTCAAAACGCTGCTTTTCAAGACACTTATTCTGACACTGCTACTCAGTGAAAGGCAATGTTTTTAAAAGTAACGATAAATCTTGATCTGCTAATATGCGTGGCACTTACATCAGCAGAGAAAAAGAACTCGTAGTATCAGTGGGAACCAGCTAGCACAACTGCCTCCCGCCAGTGAAGGGCAGGTGCACTGTGGTGTTATGGACAGATCTGCCATGTTTTCTTAGGTAGAATAAAGTATAGGAAAAATTTCCTGGTGTCTGCATTTTTCTTTCTTGGTTCCATAGAAAGAGGTTAATTTACAAAAAGGCAAGGAGGTCAGAGCTTGAGAGATCATATGCCCTTGCCTGCTACTCTATAACAGAGGTGGGAAAATGGGATCTAAAAGAATTATGAGTGATGATGGTGATAGTAGTACCTGAAAATTTACGTCCCAAAACCAAGATAAGATTACGAAAGACACAGAATGACGATGTTAAGTTGGGGAGGTGACCAAGTAGGTTGTTAGGTTGATGAAATGCTATAGCCGTACATCTAGTTCAGTCACTTGTGAGAAGGCTATGGCCGCTCTTACGAGCAGTTCCATTGTTGGTGTCAGGCCAATGGCCAAACACAACATCATCAGTTAATGACGTTGTGACGTAATCGTTCAGTTAGGAAAGCAAGTGTCATGGTCTCGTGCGTACACTGGGCAGCTACAAAATGTGTGGTCAAGTTTTCCAGGTACTTCGTAATTAGGACTACTGTCACTGCAGTCGATATGTGCGTAACGTGTTAGGCCACGTCAAGATGAATGTGATGAATCATGCTTGCGATGAGTCGCATGATTTATGAGGCGTGCAGGACCTTACACCAGAGTCCCATTCGTGCATTTGCTCGTGTCGTAAGTACGGTTTGGTCTACAAAAATGTATTAGATGGTTTCTACTGCATATGTCGGTCAGAGGTGGAAGTGGTGTGCTGTGGCTGGCAGCAGAAATGCCTTACCTCATCTGCTTGGCAGCAAGTTGATACACACGTGCTGTACAATCTATATATAGCAAAGATGTCCCAATTCACATAAAAGCGCACAAGAGCTCATGTTATGCTTTCACAAAATGCTTTTCTACATTTTCAGTATTTGACAATTTTCTGGTCATGAACAAGTGTGTCAGGTTACCGAAGCATTATTTTCTATGTAAGAAATGAATTGTTACGACACATGCAACACCACGCAATTCAGGGCCAAATTTTTTTATTCAGCCCTGAACAGACAATAAACTCTCCTTGTTACCAGTCTGAACCAACTAACTTGAGAGTATATTGCCACACGTGCTTGCTTCTGATTTTATGTTACTGCCTATTAGATGTGCCAAGTGCAAACTGCACCCGAATGATTGAGCATTATCTAGATAACCTGAGCCTTCCTATAAGATGACGTACACAATGTGAACCTTGGAGCTGGTTCTGGATTCGACACGGCCGCTAGCGATAACACTGGAATGTGCGATGGTACGTGTATAAAAGCAGACGTGCTTCACCACTTGACAGATTATCAACGGCCCAGCGCTCTGTTCCCCACTATCAATCTGAAGCGTGTATTGCTTGTACAGTGCCATTCCACTTTCAGCGCGCAGGTTTGCCCAAATAAGGAGTTCAGTCTTGAAAACACAGAATTCGGCCTTCATAAAAATCTCAGGACCCTGCGACAATATTGAAGCACGAAAGCACTGATGAAGTTACCATGAGAACTAATACAGCCACAAGTGAAACAGCCGTACGTGATACACCGAATCGCTAAAAGGTGCACTCGTAATACCAGATATGCTAACAATATGACGAACTGACATTAGAAAGCCCTCGAAAAACTCTGGGTGTGGTAGGCGACGTCTCTTACCAGTGATGGCGCAGAACAAGTCGGGGAGGCCACTGTCACCGGCCCCTTTGCGAATGTCATACTCTGCAAGAAAAATGCAGAAGATGAGCAGTTAAACAACCTCAACTATTTTCTAAAGTAGACCTCTCAGATGGGTTTGTTTCAACAACCGCTTTCTTTGTTTTTCTTTTCTCTCAATGTATTCTCCGAAGAGGCGCTTATTTCTCATCAAGTTGGCCACTGGTCGCGGTAGGACTGCTCTAAAAAGCTTATCTAACATCACACCTTTAAGTTTGCGCATTTTATGAGCTATGGCACTACATTCTTGAAGCTAATTTTTTTTCTGGAGATTAGGTGGGATTACAGAATGTGCTCTGAATTATGTGTGAAGACTGGCAATTTCTGTATGCAAATACAGTAACCTCTCAGTAAACAAGCTTTTTACACAGAACTTTAAATAAAGAGGTTCTAATATGATTGGTTTCATATTTCATACTAAAAGTTAGCAACACTATTGATTTCTCAGTTAAAAAGAACCCCAGTTAAACAGGACATTTTCCAGGTCCCTTCAGGTTACATTTATGGAGTGTCTACAGCACATTCTTCCATTGTCTGCATATTCCTGGAGGAAAGGATGCTAATGCCAACAGAAAAATCTGAGAAAGCTGGAAGTGCCAGACGGCACGACAAAAATTCGAAGTCAGAACAGGGTTATACATTAAACATGCAGAGACACACGGCATCTGTACAAATAGATATCTGCGGGCCAAACAGTAAATAAATGGTTACAAGGAGAACAGAAGTCAAATGTGACTCACTCATCAAGGCATCCAGAAGCACTGAGAAATCTTCATCCTCTAAAAAGAAAAAAAGGAATGATTGCAGAGTCACACAACATACAAGATTCAGAGTAGATTATAGTACTTCCTGTCACAAAATTTATTTGAAGAGAAAAATGGAACTGAGCTGCTGCTGCACTTTTTCATGGATTCCTAGATTTGAACAAAAACCATACAAGTTCTTCAGTTTGTCTTGAAGCAATGCGAGAAATAAGAAGTCGAAATTGAGGAGCTTGTACTACTGTATTGCCCATGCTGCTTCAATGCATTCAGCTGTCGTCAAATGAAACTGTCTCAACGATCCGTTTTACATGGCAGGTGCAAATGCCACCAACATGAAAAGAGTGGTTCACTTCATTTGTGAACAGGGAAAACTGGCTGACACTTGGGAAGTGACAGGTTGGCTAAGTCTGAATGAGCTGCAAGTGTGCAGCGTGCCCTCACCACAACTAATGAGTAGTTTAGAGACAGCCGGTAGTTTGTACAGGCGCAACTTTCAGCATAGGCACAGGAAGATCTAGAAAGGCCTTTTTTTGTGGACGAGCACATGGAAAGAAACGAGCGTGGACTTTTCAAAAGTAGCATGCAGGTAGGAGAAGCAATGGGCTTTGGGTTTTCTAGACATTTGAACAGAGCGACTGACAAAAAAAAAGAAAGAAGCCATGTTGAAGTAAACATCAGTAAGAACAACCATTGCCATAAAATGCAGTCAGAAAAATACTCAAGACTTTCCAGCCTTTTGCGACATGCATTACATTTGGCTGCCTCAAAATGCATTAAATTTAATTTCATGCAGAGATTCCAGAGTCCGAGCTTCAGCTCGTGCAAGAAATATAAATGATACTGTAATTTACAGCAATGAACTTTAACTACAACATAAGTAACTGGCTAAATATTGTACAGTCAGTCATACAATATTTCTTCATCAACATAGCTCAACCGTGCACTCCAATTACATGCGATAGTCATCTGCTGGCATTGACCATTTACAAAAAAAATGAAACAAATTTTTCATATGCGTGCCGAAATGCACGATGTCCCGCATCTCGGTAAACACGATACTGCTTTTCCCAAAGTGATTCTGTGTAGCAAGATATTGCGACCAGAACTGATACCAAAGAACTTCAGGCAAAAAGAACGCTTAATTTACCATTAGCTCAGCACTTTCAGCCTCTTCCTTGCCAACAGAGCACAGAAATGGCAAAGATAAGTCATGCCTACAAATGAGTGTGACTTGTCACAAAGGGCCAGTCAATAACAGTTGACTCCAGTACGCTATCATGCGATGACGTGGCTTAAGTGAACTAAGTATGGGAAGCACTGTGAAATCTTACGCAGATTGCCCTTCAGTTCATCTGCATGTTCAGCGTTACAGTCATTCAACTAAGCGGCAAACGAATGTGCCTCTGTAAACGGGTCATGAGAAAAGCTGGCTACCTGTCCAACTGGTGCTACTGACGATGAGAGCCGGTCGATCGGCCCTCAGAGTCGCAGCACCGGAGTCTGGTGCAGCTTCGGTGAATATGTTTCCTCCACCAGCTTCATCAGGTGCATTGACCGTGCGGGCCAACTCTGGATACTCCACGGCTAGACGCTCAAAGAGGGTGTGACGCTCATCCGCTCCGGTTGGCTGGAATGCCGACGAGGGCTTGTCGTAGAGGATGTCGGCTCTATGAAGGAAGAAAATGCAGAGAGCAATAAACGAGCCCATCCGAATGAGCATATCAATTGCCCTAAATGTAGGCAGTCAACTGGCTTCAATAAAACTTTTTGATTGCATGTTCGGTGAAAAATTTTCATCGTTCGTGTAGTGACAATCGGTTAAACCCTTCACCCAGCTCAATCATTTTCAAGAACTGAACGTGCCTCCGAATTTCGGTCTTTGTTGGCCAGTGCTTTTCATGTACATGACACTTCACGGCTCTGTTTAGTGCTTTGCGATAATTTCTGAACTACTTGATGCTACGGAATGCTTCGATTTAAATGTATCCGTCGCATATGACTGACCGTCACCTTGCTGTTTTGCCAACTTGTAACAGAATAGGGACCTATGCAAGCTGCTCGAGCCTTCAGTCCCACACTTCCATTCTAAGAAAAATGTTGATTGACTTGATTATTTGACGGCTCTTGCCTCGACGACGGCAGCACTTCGTGGTACCGCTGAACCCAATACCACTTTCAAGAAGCTATGTTTGGGTCGGGTGTAGGGTGGCACTTGCAGCGCACCCCATGTTGTGCAACAGAGAGCATTGCAAGGTCATTCAGAGCCCAAGAGGAACTTTTGCAAGTCCCATGGCTCTTATGAGCATGGTCTACTGTGCCCCTGTTGCACTTATAATTGTTCAGCGAACTGGGAGCGCGGGAGGAACACAGACACGAAGCAAAGAGGAGGCACACAGCACGTGTCTGTGTGCCTCACAACAGACACGTGTTGCTTCGTATCTGTGTCCCTCCAACACTCACAGCTCGCTGAACAATTATGAATTACCAACTAACCCACCTTACAATTCTGTTGCATTTATTTGACAGTTGCTTACACGAGACGCAACTTCTTTAACTCTAGGCATGGTTCCACCCTTTGAGTCTTTCTGCCTACAACAATAAAACATCTGGCTTGCTTAGAATTACTTCTGTGGAAATTAGGCACTGCCCACTTTTCCCATCAATAATACCTTGTCACACTGATAACGCACATGCCGTTCAAGATCTGAAAATACAGGACACTTAGCTTTGCAGCAAACAAAAGCACGCAAGAGATGGTCACTATTGTTATGGGACCAAAAGACTGTCCATAGGATGCGACTGTTCTTAGGGTTAAGTCATACCTCAAGAGTCAATAACGAGCCAATAACAAAGCTTAGTTTGTTGAAACCTGCATTCCAGCCCTGAAAAAGGGCACAGCCAGAAGTCTTTGTGAAGAGGGGGGGGGGGGGGGGGGGGGTTCGGGGCAACAACCCTTTGTGCATGGTTTGTGTGTGTGTGTAGGTATTAGGAAATGTAAAACTTTCAAAAAGGTTGGGGCTGAACCTCCCCTTCCACCTTCCACCACAGACTACCCCACAAATGAGGCTGTTTTAGTAGAACGCCAGCTGATGAATTAAGTCTACTTGCATTAGTTAGATCTGTGGCAGCTCACATTTAGTTAAAACCACCATGGATTACGAGTTTTCTTGTTTCTCTAAACAATCAAGGGCCTAAAGTTAAAGAGCTGAATAAGTAAGACTGCAATGAGAACATCCCTTATAACCTGAACAAACACCCTTGCATCAAAACAGACAAATAGACAGAAAAATGAAATTTTCATGCAGTTCACGTGAAGGTACATAGGTCAGCAGCGTTATTTCTTTACAATTGAACATGGTTGTCGCGAAGGCAATAATTGACTGTCACCTTTCACCAATCGTTTTTCCTGCCCACAGCCAGAGACTAGGGTAACCTTCTCACCGAAGTTGCCACCATTGTCGACACCCGAGCATTCAAGCAGCTCATCGAAACCATCCCATTATAACTATCCTTATATATATAGCCTTTCTATCACCCACTCCCTCATGTATTATCCCAACTGGGACAATTGGGGTAATAAAATAAATAAATGAATGAATGAATTCGCAGAAGTTCTGTTTGTGTAAAAAAAGCCAAATGAAAAGACCTTGCGGCACAAGTTGCTATTGATCCTGCAGCATCTGAGAAGTTGAAAGGAGTCAACTCTAAGGACTCTAAAGTCTGTAAACAATATGTCAAACAAAAAGTGCAGACTCACTGCACTCCCCAGTTGGATTTCAAGTCCTCCTGCATTGCTTGAGACACACAGAATGCACTGCCTGCCTTCTTGCCAAACCTTTCCTCGCACCTGCAAGTAGAATCCGTTCAGAGGTTCGTTAAATCCTGGAGAGATGGAAGTACTGCATCAGTATCAATGAACAGGCCTCAAATTTAAGCATGCTGCCTGGAGACTTAAATTCCATTTGATCAATGAATGCTCTGCGTAAACTGTATTACGAATGAATTTTCATGCTGCCATATTAGGCTGTAGCCTTGCCATTTAGCATCGACAAATAAATGAACAGTGGACACATACGCATGAAAATGGTTGCTTTGGTGCAGTCAATGTTTCATGACCTCATTAAAGGGGCCCTGTGAAACTTTCAGCATGGTTAAAAAACGCTGCCGATCTGTAGTTGAGGCTCCTAACAACATGCACGCAAAACTTACTACAGCCCGCGGCCTGGACTTCAAAATTAATTCTCGAAGTCTGCTAGAATACATTCCCTCTTTCTAAAAATGATGGCACATAGTATACCCTAGTTCTGAGCCATTGGCTAAATTGAGCATCGTTCGCTTCATAGTCACAGTGGCCGCCATGGGAGGGTGCCACATGCACAACCACGATCACAAAGTAAACCGTACATTTGAAGAAAAAAGAGTACGGATATCGTTTTGATATATGCAGATCCAATTACACTATACAGCTTTGCAAAGGTCAAAATACAGGCTAACTAGGTTGCAGGCAAGTTGTACCAATCGCGAACAGCAATCGTGCAGACAGCCGGACCAGTGGCGTAGCCAGGAGGTGGCACACTTGGCTTGTGCTCCTCCCGAAATCTCTTTCTGCCAAGGGACACAGATCAGAAAATGACCTTCGACCACACATGCCTGCCAGGATCCCATTGCAGATCAAGGACGTGCCCCTACTGAAATGAACTTTGTCGCCGTGGTATAGCCGCTACGGTGCTCAGCTGCTGACCCGAATGCAAAGGATTCGATCCTGGCCGTGTAGATTGCATTTCGACGGAGGGGAAACGATCAAGGCCCATGTAACACTGAGACGTCAGTACAAGCTGATTGATATGTGGGGTTTAGCGTCCCAAAACCACCATATGATTATGAGAGACGCCATAGTGGAGGGCTCCGGAAATTTTGACCATTTGGTGTTCTTTAAACCCCGGATAATTTAAAGTAAAGTGAACTTCTGCCTGTGCCAATGAGCCAGTCATGGCAACGTTTGAAAGAAATTTACCCATTTTCTGGCAGTTCCAATATGCCAAACCCTCAATGAATGCACGGACAGTCTGAAAGTTTCCGATGATTGAAAATCATCAGCATGCGAGTGCATTTTACAAGCTCACCAGTGGCACATCCGGACCAGAAGGTGTTCCGGTCCAAGCGCCAAAGCTAGGATAGAGAAGCCGTAGTTGTGCCAGTCCACCACGAGCACAGAGCCTCGCAGGAGGCAGCAGAACCACGACACAGGTAGCGTTGGTATTGAGGGCGGATTCTGTCAGAGAAAAAAGTCATCATCATCTCGACTGTCGCTAGCCCCTCATATATCCACACTACCTGTAATCTACAGGAATGTACGCAAGGCCACGGGTTTAAACCCTGCTTGCAGCAGCTGTAAAAATGCTGGTGGTGGTGATACAAAAAAAAGTTGTTCCCTTACCGTTCCCTTATAAAAAGAGTTGTTCCCTTCGCTTCAGGCGGACATAACGGTTATGGAGTTCCTGACTAAAGTGGATGACGTAGTTTGAGTGCTGCTTTGCCAAAATGAGCTCGACAGTTTTATTTCACACATTGTTACATGAGAAATGTATAACTGCCTATTTTCATTTTATTGTCTTTTTCTTTGATACACTTATTTCAAGTATAAGAAAAAGTATTCAGTATTTATAAAAATACTTCATAAAGTTCTTTGAACATCTAACTGATCTTCTGACACATCTAAGAGCAAATGACAGTTTCCTCATACACTGACAAAACATTCTTATTGTATTGAAGTCAAATTTTGTCACGATAATATAGAACCTATACACTACACTTTTCACTTCGGTTGTGATCCCAGTGAAAACAATGACTGACTGAAAATGAGCCCACACTCGTTATAGAACTAGTATATTACAAGTGTCGGTTGTTTACAGCTTAGTCGTACTGTGCAAACTGCTCTGGCTCACCTGAACAAGAACATGGCTAGGCTTGCACAGGAACATGAGTCTGAAGAACAAGGCTAGAGATTGCCACAGCACCTTGAGAGCATATGCCAACAGCCTTGGAACATCTGCAAGTTGCAGCAAAAAACAGAACACTACAGCTGATTGTTGTTATAATGATCCAGCATATATCAAACTAAAAGGGATCCAGACACAGTTCAGATTACTATTAACACAAAATGCACAATACGCCAATCTGAAGTTTAAAAACCAAAAATGTCTTGGGCGGCCTTTTGAGATTGTTCAAAGAGGGGAATCCTTGCTGCAACGCTGTGTAGAAAGTTCATTTATGCTAAAGTGAAAACGAATCGGTTTAGGTTGTCAAATAAAAAAATCTAACGTTAACTTAACCATCGCAAGAATTTTATTAAAGTAAAAAATCAAGATCAAGGTTTCCTTTTTAAATGTCGTGCTGAAATCTCTGCGTGTGATATGCATTTCGAAGTGAATTCTTTTTACGTTGGCAACAGTGGCTTAGTGAAATTCATTGAAACTATATATTGAGTCTCTGGCCCCCTCAGAGGAAACTTACACAATTTTTGCCCATTGGGAACTATGAAGGCCCTAGGAGGTGCTGTCAAAATATATTACGTCGAGGCCATTGGTGTGGGAAATTTAATGTTGCATTGCCACCCATATTTGCTTTTGCACACTTTTTCCCCGCTTACAAAGCGTATTCTCACCGCAGGCATGGTCGTCCGGGTATTGGGAAATGGTCCTCTACAAGTAGAAAAAAAAAAGAAAAATCATTTCCCCCTTTCGCCCAATTCATGCCTCCTTGTGGAATGCGTGATTCGGACAAGAAGCGTCCTAGCATTATCGAGGAAACACGGTGGTTCATTCTTCAATAAAGAACAGCCACAGGTAATGTGCTGCACTGCATAACTTCACGAAGCTTGGCTCTCTCAACTACAATTTACTACGCCAAAATAAATTGTGAAGACGAGAGCAAGCCTATCATTACAAACTGTAAATTAATCCTCGCATAGAGAGTCACCCATGTTTCAAAATGTGTAATTTTGGTCATTTTTATTTTGCAGTTTGCTTTAAAATCTGTTAGGAGTTGATGTCTTTTTCTGGCACCTGCAGAGACTGCCACGTTATGCCAGCTTGAATTAGAAATTTTAATGTTGCAAGGGATTGTCAGCCATTGAGAAGCACACTTGCAGCGACAGTGGCAATACTGAAATATTCGTAGCTGTATATTTTCGCTTGTGGGCAGAACGCACATTGGCCTCATTGTAATCAAAGCAGGCCAGTCTGCTCCATTGAAGGTTGAAGAGGGTTTCAGTCATTAGGGGCTTTAATATTTAAATCATAATGGTGGAACTTTCGTTATGTATTTTGGTGTGTGCATATTAAGATAGGAGCTGAGCTTTTAAGTAAATCATACCATTTATTTTCAAACATTCAAAAAAACTCCACCTGATCATATCTTTAATGAACTGGCAACCTAGATACTGTTGATTGAAATTAGGTAGGATCCTACAGATATCAATGAGTGCAAGAAGGATAATTTTACGGTTATTTCCAAAAAAAGAAAAGTTGTGAAGCTTCAAAGTTCTCATGTCAGTGACTGATAACAAGCACTTCTCCTTACCATTTTTTTTTTTAATTTCTAACTTGCCAAAGTAATAGCTACCTTTTTACTGTGCTTACTAAACAGTCCGTTTTTCAGCCAAACAAGTACTATCAAAGTTCTCTGTGCCATGGCTGAGAGAAACTTTTCTTACAAAGAAAAAAAAAACGTAGAAGCTGGGAAAAAGCAAACAATGAAATAACACTGATCAGTGATGCCAGATGAAAGGCTGTTATGCCTAAGAACAATGATCTAGGACGCATAATAATTGGCGACAGTAATGGTTGAATTCAAAAATAACATTACCGAAAAATCAATTTTTTCCACAATTCTTGGCCCTAAAAAAACAGCTTCCCTCCAAAACTGTTTTCCCACGAACAAATAAGACTGATTTCTGAACCAATGCTCAGCTACTGAATCGAAACACACCAAACTCACATTTCTGAAAACAGGGTGGTTCCCTCATGAGGTGAAGGTGGATGTGTGGGTTGGACAGGACATCCTGGCCGGGTTGAGAACCTGTGGAGAGAAGCACCTGGGAGGCATCATAGAATAGCTACCAAGTTGCGAAACAATATTAAGGCTGAAAAAAAATCTGGTCATTTCCCCCAACGAGTGAAAGTCTCAGTGGTAAAGAATCATTTTCAAAGACTTCTATGGCATTGAATGGGTACGGACGTAAAAATGGCTTTTACCAGGTCCGAACAGCCCCTCCAGTGGAGATCGTTTTGATGGAAACCGGTGGACCTGGGCCTCAGAGTTTGTCCACTACGTGGTAGTAGGCAATCTCAGAGGCCTGCATTCACTCCTTTCTTTGGAGAAAACATTTGCAAGTTTTTGACGCTAGATGTCACTTAGTATGCACCTGTCGTAACGTTTTGGCCACCAAAAACCATGGCGCCGACCTCATCGATACGCAGACTACCCATCCAGTTGTTTTGCCACATCAAATTAAAGGCCAAGCTGTGAAAGATCCAGAACATATATAGGTAAGTGTCAGCACACCCTGAAAAATTACAAGATGTTTTTAAAAGCTAGTTTCTATTCCCTCTCGACCGTCACAACACGACATGAGCCTCTTGTCAAGTGCTCGTGCAAGATATATTGATGTCCTTACAGCTGCGTCACTCCATGGCTCTGTTGGTGATGAGTAAGCATCTATTTTGTATGTTTTGATCACTGATGTCATCCCAACTAGCTATACTGGTGTGTGAAGTATGGCTAGTTGCAGTGTAATGTTCGTGCCTGCACAGTTGTCCTCCATGTTTGTGCATTTCTTTGCAGCAACATCAGCTGATGTCCATTGGTCGTCAAGTTTTGCCGTCCTCTCAATTGTAATTGTGATCACCAGCAGCCTGACTATGTTCTCTGCAGAACAAAGGCCTCTTCTATGTTCCACCAATCAACCCCGTCCTGCACTTTCTGCTGCCGCATTGTACCCTCAAACTTCTTAACTTCATCTGCCCAACTAACGGTCACACATTAGCCTTCTCTTGGAATCCAGACGGTCACTCTTAATGACGAGCGATTACCTGGCCCATGTACTGCATGCCCCGCCTTTTAGTCGAAAGACGTCCTTGACACCCATTTCTTCCCTGACCCACGTGCTGTTCTTTTTCTTCAGGGTAGCACCTGTCTAGTGTGCGTGTGCTCATAATTTGCACTGAAAAGACGATTACCAGCTAGCAAGCAACTAGCCCAAGCACCTGCCTTGTCAATGGTGTCCCTTGCCACAGCCAGCAGCACAAAGTTAACAACACTTACCACTGTAGGCAACCACGTCCACCTCGATTCGCTCCTTTGCAAGAGACAAAGCGTGATAGTTCATACGCGGGCTGCGTCCAAAGTCACCAAGGACCACCACGGCGACCCGACGGTTTCTCTGAGCGTCTTCAGTCATGGCTGATCACACACTGCTTTCAGATTTACCTGCATTAAATAGAAGATCGTCCTTACGCATGAAATGGAGCATAGAACTTAGAATAAAGCGAAACAAAATAGTTTGCAGTTACAAAATATGCCCTGAAAGCTCTATTGCTGCTAATCTCCCCTGTTGAGTGATTGTCTCATTCACAGATGACTCAATCACTCAACAGTTTCACTTTCAAGTTTCCCGGTGCAATCACCAATGGTGATGTCACAGATTTAAAAGTGTTCAGCACATTGGCTTGGCAATATTTCCTTAAACTTGGTATGGCAAGTCTATGGATACCTTCGACAAATTTTTACAAATTAGAAACTGCGAAGGCCACAGTAGAGATTGTCGAAATTAATGACACCATAGCGATTAATGTAGGAATTCGCAGGTGGCATCACTTCCTAAATTTTCTTTTCGTGCATTTTCTGACTCTTGAAGTGTCTTCTTGCAGGAAGCATGGTGTTTTTGCTATCGTGTAACTACACTCAAACCTCATTATCACCAAGTCCCACCGGCCACCTAGATACTTCTTTATATCCGAAAATTCGTTATAAACACATATTCACAGCACTATGACACGAGCTTTTTTTATTTACTTTGTCATATACAATAATTTGTTGTATCCAGGTTAGTTGTATTGAGGTTTGAGTGCAATTTTGCCAGTTAGAGAAATGTTCATTTAAGTGTCCTTTTAAAAAGAAGCTCATCGTTACATGCGCAATGTGACCAAAAACAGGCGTAACATCACGAGACTGGAAGAGAGGGGAGTGGATTAAAAAAAAAAAACACGGATAGAAAATATAGTAGCAGACACGGAGAAGAAAAAATGCCATTCTTGTGTGACGAGTGGTCTGGTTCTAGAAACTGCGAGAAATGCAGCTCTACCACTGTGAAACCTGAGGAAATGCGTAGCACAGGCACCCGGCGCTTGTCACTCGTAGAGTTCCCACTGCCCCCTCTACCAAACCGACGATGACATCAATGTTTTAGATAAGCATGCAGTTTCCCCGGCATGAGTAGAATCTTGTTAGGGACATTCACGCTACTTTTTGCTGCGCTTTATCGACCTCCTACTCATGACGGCAGTTTAGATCGTCTGCAGCAAGTTCTGTCAGGTCGTTTCGCCCTTTCAGATGTAGCGAAGAAGGCGAGTGAGAAGTGCCGGTGAGAGAAGCAATTGCGCAGTCTGCGAGATGGTAGGGCCCGCTCTCGCTCGGTAGAAGAGTCTGTCGCATGTTCCTGAGGAATTTTCAACTATATTAAGTTAAGTGTCGTAATTATTTTATGGTTATTTCTATTTATGTTTCAGACTCCCTCTATTTATTTTAAATCGGTTTCGAGCATATCTAGCCTTGTTTTACATCTGTATCGAACATTTGAATTTGGGCGTCCTCATAGAACGAGAGTTATGTATGAATGACAAGCTTGGCCCCTAAAGTAACATGCACTAAGTGAACCTGGGTTGGTAGCGTAATGCGAAAGACAAATAATTGACGGTCAGAGCGATACAATGGTTACCAAGAAGTGGGATGCATGGCCGAACATGACAAAGTGTTACAAGGTCAGACAAAATTAACAACTCTGCTCGCATGAAATGGAGTCTGCTTACACAAGATTAGGTAAATTTTATATCACTGGGAGAGAAGTTTGCCCTGCAGTAGAAAGAAACTGGCTGAAAATGAGCTATCACAGAAACATTCTACACAAATGAAACTTGGTAATATCCTACTTCTACTTATCGCCTCTTCTCACAATTTAGATTGTCATTTTTCAACAAATTCACGTCACCAATTCCCCAAGTAGACTGCCCATACTAACCTGTGCTGAATGTGTAGGATCTAGAATATATATAGCCTACAATGAACGTATTTTCAAAACACAACTCCAGCTGAGCGATTTGCACTACCTCTCCAATAAACATAAGCCTAGTAGTAAATAAAATCAATTCTCTGCCAATTCGTGAGGTGAACCAAGATTCATGAAAGAGAATATGTTCAAGACCACCCATGTGTAGGTACCCAGAAAACCCCATAGAATCATCTCAGAAAGGAAGTTTCCTACTTTACGATTGGCCATGGATTTGAACAAGGCTCCTTTCAAGCTGCTCAATGCAGCTTTTTTGCCTGGTAATCCTCGTAACATTGTTGAAAAGTACACTCCATTCAAACCCCTGTCACAGACAGGTGCTGTGCCTTCCGAGTCAATTAGGAGGCTAATCAGAGCAAACTTGCATCCTCGTACAGTCCCCTCTTTAATACATAGCTTAATTGAAATGAGGTGTGGGATCACTTAGTTCACCATTTTCAGCACGTTTACGAAACACCATGCGAGACGTTAGGGACAGTGCGTTGAAAAACAAAACTGGTGGTAAGGACATCAAAGTGAAAATCAAGAAGAAATGGACACTGGCAGGGCACGCAGTGCATAGGAAAGATAACTGGTGGCCATAAAGGGTGACTGACTGGATTCTGAGAGAAGGCAAATGCACAAATGATAGACATAACGTTAGCTGGGCAAATGAGATTAAGAAGTTTGAAAGTATAATGTGTTCATAGCAAGCACAGCATTAGATTGACGGAACATGGGCAAGGCTTTTTCCCTACAGGGGGTGTAGTCATGCTGATGATGACTAAACATCTATTCCTGCCAGTATTCACCTCATAAATACTATGTCTTCAATCATTCTGTCTCTCCAAAAAGGCATTTATAAGAAAAGGGCTGGAAATCGTCACTGGGCTGTTGAATTAGCCAAATCAACAGTCATACTCTGTGCATTAGTGGCCCAGAAGCTATGAAAATATAGAGAAATCACAAATGCCGCAGTTGTGACAGTAGACGTTCACCACAAAACTTGACAACACAGCGGTGATACGACACTGCACAACCTGAAAACAGTGACACAAGCGGCACCTTCCCCCTCTGAAGAGAACTTTTAAAACTGCTTCAGTAAATCTCCTCTACACGCGCATTTTCGTGACGTCTCACAGATATTTGAGTGTTGCTGGTACCAGGCAGAACTTTACTTAAAGTCTGTAGATAAGGAAGCCAAGGAAAGCACAGGGGATGCGATTTGAGCTACTAAACTGTATTGTAGAAAAACTGAAGTGGACAAAGACAACTTGCCGCAGACACGACAAACTGCCATTTTAACTACTAATTTCATTTATATCATAATTGTGCTACAGTACAGGTAAAACAGTGCAATGTTAACGTCCCCTGTTCCGTCTTTGGTTTCATTACCTGTTAGCTTTAAGTAAGGTCGTGTTGAACAAAGAGACGAGCTATAGAAGTTCCTTTCATTTGTTCGGTTTAAGGCAGGTAACCTGAACGTCGACAACTTCAGGCAGGTAACCTAAACATCGTCCCCTTCACGAGGGATGCTGACGTCAAAACTTAGCAAAGCATAGATTTTAAACCAGAAGGAAGGAACTGTTATACTGAAATTTCGTTACTATTTACACAGCCGACTACGGCTGACGTGGTTCTCTTGCAGAGGTGAAGCCCAGACGGGGGGCGGTTTTGTGGGCGGTACCCACAATAAATTCTCAGCCTTTCAGAACGGCACAATTACCTATACCCAAAGAAAGAAATCACAAACGACAGACATACACACACACGTTAGTAGAAAACAACGGACCGACACCCCAAGGTTTCCTTCGCCGGCAACCACCTATTTGCCGAAGGCCTGTCGCATCTGCGGCGGGAACTGCAGACTGTGCCGAACGAAGCAGGCCTTGCAGAAGCGTTTGGCGTAGAAGACGCTGCACTCGCTGGCGTGGCACACGGCGCGCCGACAGACGGAGCAGTCCGAACCGACGGCGAAGCCTCCCAGGTCCTCGCCGGAGCCGTCTTTGACGAAGTAGACCGTTTCGAGGAACCTCAGACCGAAGCGCTTGATGGAGTCGCACTCGACGTGGTACTTCTCTCGCATGCCACACACGCTGCACACGAAGTACTTGTCTTCGGTGGCGGGTCGTGCTTCGGTTTGCATTACCGGCGCCTCTTCACCCGGAGTCACAAAACACGGACATACACATAGATGTTAGGTTACAAGCGCCGCGCTAAAAAGGTGAACGAGGAATACATACAATTCGCTAGGCAAACGTCGTCGAGGAACGTTGCAACAAAACGTTCAGAGCAGAACGGGACGCATACCAGTATGCGCTGGTGACAGCTCAGCACTACACGACTGCACAAACACAGCGCAAACGAAACCGGCGGCCGCTATGTCATTGACTTGTTTATCGGCTAGCGTTGGCTGCGAATGCAATGATTGCAGGGGGCGCTTTAAGTGAGCGCACCAGCAGCGCTTTCTTGCGTTTTGCCAGATTTTTCTAATAAAAGGATTGATAAGCCCATATGACCGTAGAAAACACGAACGAATAGATTTAAAATGATTTATAAGGCTTTTCAACGAAAGCGTGCCCTGTCTTTCTTTTTCTTTCATGTTCCCTTGTAACCACTTGTAACCCACTCGAATAGAACAAGGACAACGCTGCGTCATATTTTTTAATCCTTTTTAATCAATTTATTTATTTTCATTTTGAACACACGGCGACCACACGCAAGATTGCACAGATATGCCAATAATAGGCTATATGTATATAAATTACCAGTGCTTACATTTGAATAAGCATTTTAGCATTATTAACAAGGCTTTGAATAAATGTGAAGATTGATTGTTACAATAAACGCCTTGACGCAGGCCACTGAACAGGGAAGTGCAGAGCAAAAGGGAATAATTGATAAAACTGCAAGTTTACTCTATTTTAGATTGCACTCTATTTGTATCAATCAGGAGAAAACAAATGTCAATCCAAATTCGGAATAGACAGGCCCGCTTGACCATGCAAATGGCACTGGACCATATTCTACATTTTTAACCATTTGTAGCAACAGAGCATACAATAGCCGCTCAACGTGTTTATTGGCCTTCACAAGCTGTGCGTCTTCCTAATTTTGCCCTGTTAACACACTTCAATAGAAAGTGCAGACGAGTGACAGTCTAGAAGAGCACAATCTTTGCCTTCACTTCACATTGGTGTGCAGCTCACTCGATCAATAAGTTTGCACGTGCCCTTCACAAGTAGGACGCCCAAAAGGCTGGCAGCGCAGCGAGCACGTTCGAAATGCTCACTACAAGGCCACATGGGTTATTATCTCCGTCATAAATTTCATTTGATAGTCTGACCGCTTGCTTGTTGAGAATAAATTTAACCTTTCTACTAAACTACAGCTTAAACATAATGCTATCCTGCTCTGAATCCATCTCTCTTCGTGGATGAGTGAGTTCCACCGGTAAGAAGAAACTGTCGTCATTATAATAATCATTGGTGTCACCTTTCCCAGCTCGTGTCAGAAGAAGAAGAGACGCGAAGCTGTGAAGAATAGATGTGCCAGTGCGAAGGGGCAACAACAACAACAACGAATCGCTAGAGCGTCGTCCATAGTTGGGGTCGCTCGGGCTCGCACGCTTGCTTGCTCTGGGGGTTTGGCTGAAATCTGAGTAGCCTCTACTGAATTTCTTCTTGGATAGGCGTATCTAAAGCCTTAGCATTGATTAGCTAGTACCCTTCTGGCTAGTCAATCCAGACAGATGCCGCTTTCTTCGCCTGGACCAGGGACTTATCTCTGGTCTGCTTCTCTTTCACCGCAGGAGCTACCAGTGGACCAGTTCCTACGCAATGGCGTCGCTTCCGTTCCTGTGGCCCTAGTCCCAAGCAACGACGGAGTCATTAAGATGAAAAACCCTAAAGTGATCCAGTCGGAACTCAAAGCAGCGACAACTCACTATCACACCATCACAGAGGTCCGGCAGTTTGGCAAGGGAGGCATTGTCTGCTTTTCTCCTGACCAGCTCTGTGTCAAAGACTTACTTAAATGCTCGATGTTCGCTACCAATCCGGTGAGCGCCTTCATTCCTCCTCACCTAGCATGCGTCAGAGGTATTGTCCGAGGCGTAGACATCAACATGACTCCAGCTGAGGTCCTAGAGATGTTCTCTGAGGCAGGTGCTATTGCAGTTTATAGATGCTCACGAGTTGTAGAACAGACAAAGATCCCTACTGAGTCTGTAATTGTCACATTTGCCGGGTCGATTCGCCCCACTGAAATCAAGGCGTGGCCTTTAATATTCAGAGTCGAACAACTGTCACCTCGTCCCCTCCAGTGTCAGAAATGTTGGCGCTATGGACACACTTTAAAAGGATGTAGGTCAGCTCCCAGATGCCGAAAATGTGGTGAGGCACATACTGCAAATGAATGCAATTGTACTGAAGAAAAGTGTTGTCTTTGTCATGAGCAGCACTGCGCAGATAACGCTAATTGCTCAGCCAAAGCGCGGGAGACTCAAATTATGGAAATTGTTGATCGCAGACGCTGTTCACGAAAAGACGCCATCGCTGAAATTCAGGCAAGAACCCAGGGATATGCTGGTGTTGCAGCCCGACATAATGCAACTTTAGAAGCTTCTCTTTCAGTGTCCATTGCAGACATGATTGAAAAAGCGATGGAGAAAGCTATAGATCGCCTGGCCACCACCCTTTGTGACTCCTTATCTCATATTGTAGCCACTCAGTTGCCGCAAATATATGGGACACCAAGAGATATGAAGGATACTTCCCAAGACAACGTAACTCTCCCACCAAGTGAAGCAGACGCAGAGTCATCTCCTTCAGGGGTACAGGCTGCAGGGCCCTCTTGTACAGACAACCAGAGGATAGGTGAAGACATACTAGAGGATGGTCAGGATTATGATGATATGGACATGGACATCAAATCACTAAAGCGCACTCGATCCCCTGTCTCGAAAAATACTGGCTCTTCAAAACATTCAAAAAACAAAAAATACCAGAAGGAGAACCTATCGAAGAGCGATTTTCTTAAAGACAGCATTTTAGATAAGGTAGTTGCCGAAACAATTCTGTCAAAATGATAGGTTCTATCAAAATTCTTCATTGGAACTGCCGATCTATTCATTCAGCTAGTACAGATTTATTGTATTTATCTTGTAAATTCAATCCAGACATTATTGCACTGCAAGAAACGTGGCTGTCAGCACATAATTCGTTTTACCTACCTAATTTCCGGTCTTTTCGCCTGGATCGCCCATCCAAAGGTGGAGGTTTAGCGTTCTTTGTCAATAATAAAATTAGTTCAAAGATCAAAACTTCGTACAGAAGTATATCCCCCGAATGTGAAATTTTCGCTTTAGACATCACCTTGCCTGGATGCTCTCCCTTCTCTCTGGTAAATCTTTACTTTCCTCTGGGTGTACAAGACACGCGATGTTTAGACATGGCTGTTAATTCGTGGTGCACAAAAAAAATTTTGGTTGGAGATTTTAATTCTCACCACACTAGTTGGGGTTTTAGGACTGATCAATGTGGACAACGCTTGTGGGACTGGTCTATAGACCATAATTTATCATGCCTCAACGCTAGAACTCCCACATTTATCCGAGACCGATCCCGCTCTGCCTTAGATTTGAGTTTTATAAGCTCGGGTATTTCTAGCGTATCTTGGACTACTCTAGACTGCGCCACCAACAGTGACCACTTACCAGTACTGTTTGAAATTTCTTGCCCCATTATTCCATCTTACTCCCAAGCTCGAACCTTTATCAATTATTCCAAATTTAAAAATGACCTAGAAGTTGCTTTGACTACCACCACTGAAGACAACGATGAAAATAAAGCCATGAAATTAAGTGCGGTAATTAAAAGAACGTTCAAAAAAGCAGAATTTTCTATTGAGTCAGATACGAGAAAGCCTTGTAGTCAGTGGTGGAATTCTGAGTGCTCTCGTGATCATAGACGACGACAAGCGGCTTGGAAGCAGCTAATTCATAATCAGTCCCCCAAAAATTGGGCAGATTACAAGTTTATTGCTGCTACATTTAAGCGCACCGTGGCTAAAGCTAAAGAAGACTATGACAAAAAACATTTCGACTTTCTTTCCAAACCTAGAAATAAGAAAGCGTTATTCCGATATATGAGATCGCGCAAAATTCTGCCGTCTCTAGCTAACTCTGATTATGACAGGTTATCGACGGAAGAAATGACTAATTCGTTAGAGGCAATCGGAAGAGGTTTAGCTAACAGATTTTCGTCGACTTTGACAATCAACTGGCAAAAGTCCTCTATAAAGACTGACTACGAAAAAGTGACATTGTCCGAAATGTCAAGCGTAATTAGAAACTTACCCTCTTCGGCTCCTGGTCCTGACGGTATAACAGTTCCTATGATTAAAATTTTATTCCAGATATCACCCGGCGACGTCCTCAACCTTATAAACTATTCCTTAAGCAATGCCTGGATACCACATGACTGGAAAATAGCTAGAGTGATTCCCATATTAAAAAAACAAGGGTCAGGTTTTAACATTGACAACATCAGACCAATCTCTCTAACATCTCACCTGATCAAAATTATAGAGAGAGTTCTCAATAATAGATTAAAAGTTTGGATGGCTGACAAGCTAATATTGAAACCATTTCAAATAGGTTTTCGTAGCGAATGCTCAATTTGGTGTGCTCATGCCGACTTAGAGAGCCGAATACAGCTTGCCCGAAAAAGACGACAATACGCGGTACTAGTAACACTAGACATAGCTAAAGCTTATGATAGCGTTGAGCACTCAATTTTATTGAATTCTTTACACGAATGTGACTTTCCGCGATATATTGTTGATTGGGTAGCAGAGTTTCTAAAATCGAGAGAATTTTATTGTGCAAAGGATGGATGTCACTCATCTAAATTCAAACAGCAACGTGGAGTACCTCAAGGGGCGGTCCTATCTCCGCTGTTATTCAATGTGTTGATGAGCTCAATTCCCATTGAACGAGATATCACTGTCTACATTTATGCAGACGACATTGCATTTTTCGTTGCAGACAGT